TTATTTATTTTAGTGTTTTGCTCCTGATGTTCTAAGTTTAAATGTCTGTTAAAGGGGACTCATTCAGCTTTTGTTATAACAAAGGGAGGTTTATTTACTTTTTTTAAAATTTAGTATTTATTTTCAGATTTATCATTCACTTTCGTGGCAACATATATATTTATGTTAAATTTAAACTGAAAGGAATAAAATGCCCAATAATTAAATGTTCAAGTTATGGAGATTTAATAAAATGTTTTAAATTTGATAATCAGTTGTACGTTCTACTTTTATTGAATCATCAACACATTTGACAAAGGGGGTACTTGTGGTATGAGAAAATCTCTCAGGGGGTACACAATTCAAAAAAGGTTGGGAAACACTGCCTTAAGGCAAGGAAGAAGCCCTTCATTAATGAGAAACAGAGAAGAACTAGGCTACAGTTTGCAAAAAAAAAACATTCACAGACGCACAGCCATAATGCAGTTTCTCTATTTCATACCTCACCCAGCATATTCAAAAGAAAGCTTGTGAGCTTGTGGGAATTTCACTTACACAAAAATTTTCTGAGGGCAGAACAAAACAATGATTGGTTCAGAGAGATAAGCAATCATATTGCAGAGGAGGTGGGTCCAAGCAACTAGAGGCAGAACTAACCAATCAAATGTCTTCATCTTGCCTCCTATAGTTGCTTGGACCCACCTCCTCTACAATGTGGTTTATCTCTCTGAACCAATCATTTTTTGTTCTGCCTTTAGAACATTCTGTGTAAATAAAACTCCCATGAGCTAAAGGAAATCGTGTTATATGCACATTAAACAGAAATCTGTGAACAGACAATATACACCAGTAATATATCATCCTCTGATGTTGCCAAGAGACGTTTCTGATGTTAAATCTCCAAAGAGTAAAATTTATTTAGTCTTTGAGTCACAAACATTGTGATCTCAGCTTGAGCTCAAACTGCACACATTTCTGATGGTCTCCTGTCAAAACTTTTGAAAACAACATTCCCGCACTGTGATAATTAAGAGCCCATGTCCTGCTGGTGCCAGCTCCTTATCCTCAGTTTCCCATGGGTCCTTGGTGCCATGGAAAGATAAACAGGAGTCAACGTGATGAAATTCTCACCAGGAAAAA